GAAATGGGAGGTTCAAAGTATTTAGGCAAGTGCTAATAGTAATCCTTCTTAATAAATTAATGAAATAAATGAAATTACTATATTACCCTCGCCTTCATTCCTTACTCTAAGTCCTTTGCTTTACAAGTTGGGCTTGGGATGGGTTATTTTGAGAAGTAGATGAAAAGTCATTTTTTCTTTTTTTTTTTTTTTGGTTTTTTTTAAAAAAATAGAGATGATGTGATCTAAAAAAACCAAAAAGTTAAAAAAAAAACTAACTTTTAACCCAATTGACAAAATATTCTTTTGTAGCAATTCACTTCCGTCCCGTATCATATTAAGAAAGGGACAAGTCGGGAGTGGTGGGTGCTGGACAAGAAATGGATTAATTTTATGAAAGGGACAAATCGGGAGTGGTGGGTGCGGGACAAGAACTGGATTAATTTTATAAGTTAAAGAATAAAAATATAATAAAAATTATGAATAATATAGTATATTATGGATAACAATTTGTACTTAATAAGAATTATAAGATATAAGATATAAGAAAAAAAAATTTAAGATAAAAGATAAATAGATAAAAATTAATATTAAGTATAATATTTAAATATTGTAATTTTATTATAATAAAAAATAAATTATATATTATATACATGTAGATATATTTAATAATCAGATAGTTGGAAAAACGGGAGGGGTAGCAAAATTGGTTCCTGCTCCACTTCCTTATTGGGTCGGGTAGAACAGGGCAGGTAGCAAAACTCGTAATCCACTTCCTCTCATCACTCTCTCTCTCTCTCTCTCTCTCTCTCTCTTGAATGCCACCACTGTTAACCAGTCTGAACCAAAGGCCAAGCTATAAGACCAATTTTATTGTAAGCTTCTTTAGCTTTGTTTGCTTTTCATTTGAATTCTATAATTTTCTTGTTATATTGTGTGTTTTTCAACAATTCTGGTGATGGATTGATCAATGGGTTGCCCTTCAAACACTCATGATCTTCGGTCAGTGTTAATGGATTGGTTTTATGGTTTTATTTGTTAAATTGGGCTTTTTAGTCTTCTATGCTTTGTATAAAATTGACTGGCTTTGGCTTGTTGTGTGATCAGCTTTGGGAAGAATGCTTTTTCTTCCACTTGTATGCCTGTTGTTACTTTGGTAAAGGCAGTGGAGAGAGAGATTAGAGAGAAGAGAGCACAAGAGAGGGAATATATTGCTAGGGTTAAAATTGGTATTTTAAAATTGTTGGTCTTTTAAATCAATAGAATCAAGTGATGTTCCTTTTATCTCTCTTATACATAATCCTGAGAAAGCCCCTAATTGAAGCTGCACATGATGAGATATCCGAAAATCTATGGTAATAACGAAGTTGGGAGTGATGACAAACTCTAAACATGTCATTGTCCTCTAGTAGTACTATACATGAAATGGAGTTGTACACTTGAGAAACTAAACTATTTCCAATAAAAAATAAAATAAATAAATAAATGAAAGGGTGGTATGGATGATTTGCATTCCATTTATTAGCTTACTTGTCCTATGAAGTTTCAAATGCCTTGCTTTTCTCAAAAAGTCCAGATCAGCTGTGAATTAGGTTGTTTGATTTTAGTGCCAATTTGATTTAGACTATTCTACTGACCATGTCTGATTGTTCATACTTAACCATTTTGGACCACTAATTGATAGGAATCTGTATCACTTTCCCAAAAGAATGGTATGCTCTCGAATTTAATAGTCTTTGAGAGGGATACTTGATATGTGTTTGAAACTTCTTCAGTGTTAATGAGAATAGCTTCATCATGCTCCATCAGAGAAGAACATATCAAGCCATATGGGGTGGCCCAACCCTTTAGGAGGCTGCATGCAAAATTTTAAAAATGAGACATTTTATATTTAAATATTAATTTTTATTATTTTAGTTTCATCAAAAATTAATTTTTGTTAGTTTTTTTTAATGCAAAATTACTAATTAAGCTTTTGTAATCAGGTTTCTAAACATATCATTTTCAAGGATAAATTGCAAATACACTTAATATTTCTTGTGATATAATTAACCATAGGTAGGACATTATAAATTTTAGAAATACTTTTTTTTCTATAGAAGCAATTGTTACACGTATTGTTAATAATATTTTGTAAGCAATACATGCATTTGAAAAAGAATGTAGATATTTTAAAATATAATTTAGTATGTCAATTGGTGTATTTTCCTTTCCCCATATTTGTGTGAATTCTTTTAAAACTTTTAATTTGGAAAATAAATCTAAACCGTCAATTTTATAAAAATCATCATAACTTTCAAAATGAGGACAATATTTTTTTCAAACTACCATCTAGTGATTTTAATTTTTTAAAATTATATAAAAAAATAAAAGGATAATTAAAGCTTGTCACAAATAAAAAAAAACTTGGGATTTACAAAAGAAGCATTAAAAATATGAATTTTGTAAACGGTTTCCCTAAAGACACTTATTAAGAAGTTTGAAATGGTTATGCATTATTTGTAAAAGTGTGTCAAATAAAATGCCCTACCATTTTAAATTTTCTTAACCAACTATTTTAGGACAGTCATTAATAAGACCCAACAAATATATAATTATTATATGGGCATTACACAAAATGAGCACTTCCCCTATTTGGGGCCGAAAGCAATGGCGTTAATGGATGTGCACTTGGGCTGGCACTGCAAGCCAGTTACCCAATCAACAACGAACAAAAAATGGCGTACCCAGTGCACGAAACTCCCCCTTAAGCGAGATTTGGGAAAGGGTTTATATACGCAACTCTACTCCCGCAAGCAGAGAGACTGTTTCTGCGACTCGAATCCGTACCCACCAGATTACTAAAGGATAGCTTATTGCTATGCTAGGCCAACTGTGAGTGTGATAGCTACTGTGGAAATTTTGCCACAATGAGTAAGCATTAACCAGTCTGCATTAGAGGCCAAGCTATAATACCCACATTTATCGTAAGCTTCTTTAGCTTTCTCTCCGTTTTCTTTGAATTCTATAATTTTATAAATGTGTAGTTGTATTGTGTGTTTTTCAAAAATTCTGATGACGGGTTTCTGCTTTTTTTTTTTGCAATTGGTTGTTAGGGATGGTTTGGGATGATATAAATAAGTGTACTTTTTGACTTTTTATGAAATATGGGTTGGGTATGGGTTGGGTTTGAAGTGATGTGAATTTTAAAATTCTTAATAGCTGACATCATCCCTGTGTATTAGTTAACCTAACAGTTGATTAACAAATAAAGAAAATTGTAATGCGACAAAAATATAAGGAAGGGCATGTAATTTTTAGAACCGTAGAGATACTAGTTTATTAGCTAGAAATCTCAAGGAAAATTCAGTGGAATTTACCCTATCCATAATAGACTTCTGCTACTAATCTTTCTTTGTCTCTCTTATTTTTATGGTGAAGAGAAAATAATAGGCCCACTATATTACTAAGCAGCCACATAGACGGTGAAAGAATTCGGTGAAATAGAATCAATTAATGCTCATGAATAATTAGAAAATATTTTCTGGAAATTGAAAAGTTTGTCAATTGAGGGACTTCCAATTCAAAATTGTGAAACTTGTCAAAATTATGAAAATTGTGTGAGATATTTTATTTCTTTTAATTTTCAATTGACTATCGCAAACTAAGAAATTCTAATATGAAAATTTTCTTAATTTCATAGAAGTGAAACTTATAAAATTTAATTAAAATTTTTTTGCTTTCTAAAATTCAGAAATTTGAATAAAGTTTCACAATTTCATTCCAAATTTTCCTTTTCGCGATGAAATTTCTTGGTTATTAGGATGAAATTTACAATTTTTCAGTAAGAATTTCTCATTTTCATTTATCAAATTTCCTAAGTTTGTATAAAATTTCCATGTTTCTAAAATCATAGAGAAAATTTTCAGCTTATTGATCTTTTTTGCAAAAATATCAATTGGATGAAATTTCACAGTTTCATCCCAAAATTTATATGATAAAATTTACTACTTTTGGATTAATTGAATTTTTTTTAAGACTCCTTAAAATATTGAGAAATATCATTTTCACCCCTACACTATAAAAATGTATAAATGGACTCACTACTGAGAAGTAATACTTCGTCTTCTAAAGTATAAAAGCGTACAAATGGACCAATTAACTATAAAAACGTATAAATTAGACCCCTTAATGGAAGGGGTCAAAGTGAAACACGCACTACAGGAAATCAAGGATTTAACGGCGTTTTATTAAACCTCACGTTTTCTAATTTTTAACGGTGTTTTTTAACCGCCGTATATTTTTTTAACCAAAACGGCACCGTTTTCTAATTAAAGGCGTTTAAAAGCGCCTCAAAAGGCAGTAGATACACGCGCCTCTTTTTTTGAAGCCCTTATTTTTTAATCTGAGCGCACTCTCTTATACGCCCGCATCTCTCTTACCTTGTACGCAGACATCTCTCTCTCTCTCTCTCTCCCTCTCTCAGCAACGAAGAAGACGGAGGAGATAACTCTAGGAAGAAGCTTCGTCTCTCGAAAGATCAATCGGCTGTTCTTGAAGAGAGCTTCAAAGAACACAAGCTCCATTGGTTGTTCAGAGCGATTTCGAAGCGATTTCGAATATTCAGATCGATATTAATCGGCTGTTTCGAGCGATTTCGAGGATTCAGAGCGATTTCGAAGCTCCGTCGCCACCGTCATCTGCACCGGCAAGGTAGTGTGCTCCACCGTCTCTCTCTCTCTCTCTCTCTCTAGATCTCATACTAATTGTACCTTTATAAGGGTTTCTGGTTCTGAGTTGGTTCAGAAGCATATTGGTGAGGGCTCTCGAATGGCTAGATAACTTTTTGTTATGGCCAGGTTTGTCCGACTTCATTGATAACATTGTTATTGCAAAAAAATTATAATATCTTATATATCAGGTTAATAAATCTTTTTAGTCTACAGAAGTGTTATATAGTTCCTCTTACGTGTTTTATGTGTGATTTATTTTTGTTTTTGTTGCACAGGAAGCATGCTCCATCAATCATCTTTGTGGATGAAATCGACAGCATTGGATCTGCTTGAATGGAATCTGGATCTGGTAATGGTGACAGTGAAGTGCAGGGGACGATGCTGGAGCTTCTCAATCAACTGGATGGATTTGAGCATCTAACAAAATCAAAGTACTGATTTCTTGTTTCATTCTCTTAAACTAGCAACATGTATGTGCACCTATGTTAGTTATCTGCTCTTTTACTCTTATGTTGACTCTAAGCAACAAATGAGTTAGCCTTGGTTTATTTAATGTTAAATGCCCTAGTGCCATCATGTTTATTCCTCCTATTTTTTTTAATTTATTTTTAAAATTTATAATTTTTTAATACTAGAAATTAGAGATAGCATGGATAAAGAAAACTAAATTGTTTTTTAAGGTTGCTGGCTGGATTCATACTCCACTTGTTGCATTGGATATATATATCAAGTGATTAATTCATATTCATGACTCTCAAATTGTTTTTGTATTGAAAAAATGGAAACAGAGATGCCGAGAGTGGTATCGGTGTTTAGGAATAAGAGGTATCATGTTATTACAATTACTGAGTACTTAAGGTTGGGTATTGGGTATTTGGTGTTTAGGAATAACAGTTTTCACTAATCATATTTGGTTTCTCTTGCGAATAATTGATGTCATTGCACTTTAGTGTGTCATGATGAAGGATGAGTGATCTATTTTTTGCTCATCATTCTATTCTTTTGAAGGTTATTCTTTCTGATGCCAATGTTCCTGGTGAAGGGGAACATAAAATTATGTCGAATATTCGTCTTCAAAGAAACCTTCCTGGTTATGATCCCAACACACGCCATTGCTTGTATGGTTTGGTACGTCATCTCTATCCTATCTGTGAATCTATTATAAATTTCTTTCTATTTTGCTGTTCTTTAGTGTTATTGCAATGTTCTTATTGGAATTTTAACATGTTGCCACATAACAGGATGCTGATTTAATCATGTTGGCTTTGGCTACCCATGAAGTCGATTTTGCAATACTCAGGGAGGTTAGTGTATTACGATAAAATAATTCATTTTTTCTGAAGACTCTTCACTAACATTTTTGGTTCAAATTTGCACGATTGTTTAAGTTAGGAAAATGGTTAGGTATGGAAATGAGAAATAAATGCCATGTTTGGTTTGATTTTCTGAGTTTGTTTTCACAATTTACTTGTCAGGTCGTATTTACCCCTGGACAACAAGATTGGGTCATTTAGCAACAGACTGCGAAGGTAAGGCAAAGAGAAAGGCTAGGGATTTTGAAACAAAAAACATTAACCTGCACTTCAATTTATTTTTCAGGTCACCTATAAAATTGAATTTTTTTTTTGGACAAAAACAAAGATTATGTTATTGCTGAACGTCAAGCACTCTTAAGTGCTTCCAAATGTTCCTTTGTGTCGGGTTTGTTTCCACTTTCATCTGAGGAGTCCTCTAAACAATCAAAATCTATCTAATTTTACTTTGGCCCCTCCAAAATCTAAATAATTTTTCCTTGGTCCACTCTTTGTATTTTGTACACTGTTTACATATTGTGAACATGCTCATACTGGAAATTTTTTTTCTTAGTAGCTATGATTTGTTTTGCTAGTATGCAATGCACACTTAAGTACTGTTATACTATCTCTTTGCCATTGGATACACCCTCTCTATATATAGTGTTGGTAAGAATAATTAGTTTATTTTAAAATTTATAATTTTTTAATACTAGAAATTAGAGATAGCATGGATAAAGAAAACTAAATTGTTTTTTAAGGTTGCTGGCTGGATTCATACTCCACTTGTTGCATTGGATATATATATCATGTGATTAATTCATATTCATGACTCTCAAATTGTTTTTGTATTGAAAAGATGGAAACAGAGATGCCGGGAGTGGTATTGGTGTTTAGGAATAAGAGGTATCATGTTATTACAATTACTGAGTACTTAAGGTTGGGTATTGGGTATTTGGTGTTTAGGAATAACAGTTTTCACTAATCATATTTGGTTTCTCTTGCGAATAATTGATGTCATTGCACTTTAGTGTGTCATGATGAAGGACGAGTGATCTATTTTTTGCTCATCATTCTATTCTTTTGAAGGTTATTCTTTCTGATGCCAATGTTCCTGGTGAAGGGGAACATAAAATTATGTCGAATATTCGTCTTCAAAGAAACCTTCCTGGTTATGATCCCAACACACACCATTGCTTGTATGGTTTGGTACGTCTTCTCTATCCTATCTGTGAATCTATTATAAATTTCTTTCTGTTTTGCTGTTCTTTAGTGTTATTGCAATGTTCTTATTGGAATTTTAACATGTTTCCACATAACAGGATGCTGATTTAATCATGTTGGCTTTGGCTACCCATGAAGTCGATTTTGCAATAATCAGGGAGGTTAGTGTATTACGATAAAATAATTCATTTTTTCTGAAGACTCTTCACTAACATTTTTGGTTCAAATTTGCACGATTGTTTAAGTTAGGAAAATGGTTAGGTATGGAAATGAGAAATAAATGCCATGTTTGGTTTGATTTTCTGAGTCTGTTTTCACAATTTACTTGTCAGGTCGTATTTACCCCTGGACAACAAGATTGGGTCATTTAGCAGCAGACTGCGAAGGTAAGGCAAAGAGAAAGGCTAGGGATTTTGAAACAAAAAACATTAACCTGCACTTCAATTTATTTTTCAGGTCACCTATAAAATTGAATTTTTTTTTTTTGGACAAAAACAAAGATTATGTTATTGCTGAACATCAAGCACTCTTGAGTGCTTCCAAATGTCCCTTTGTGTCGGGTTTGTTTCCACTTTCATATGAGGAGTCCTCTAAACAATCAAAATCTATCTAATTTTACTTTGGCCCCTCCAAAATCTAAATAATTTTTCCTTGGTCCACTCTATGTATTTTGTACACTGTTTACATATTGTGAACATGCTCATACTGGACATTTTTTTTCTTAGTAGCTATGATTTGTTTTGCTAGTATGCAATGCACACTTAAGTACTGTTATACTATCTCTTTGCCATTGGATACACCCTCTCTATGTATAGTGTTGGTAAGAATAATTAGTTTATTGTCCTTTAACCTTTGCAGTGAGATATGACTAGCCAGTCATGATACATGTTCATGCTAGCCGTTTTTTTTTTTTACTATATTTTTTCCCTCTATTTCTCCTTCTACAATGACTCACCATATTTTTTTACTATATGGAATCTTTAACTCAGAATTTCGATTTTAAATTGGAGGCGATTTTTTTTTAAATCAATCTTTTTTCCCTCTATTTTTACTATATGTTTTTTGTTTTCTGTTATATTTTTTCCCTCTATTTCTCCTTCTACAATGACTCACCATATATTTTTTACTATATGGAATATTTATAATTTTTCTAGTCATGAAATTCTGTTATGTTTCAAAGTTAGCAAAATTGAGTTCAATATACTACTATTACTACATAATCAACAAATATTGAAGGAAAACGGCTCTTTTAATTTTGATTGTTCAATCAATTTGTTTTTGGAATCTTTAACTCAGTGTATTATGTTACATGGACACTTCTAAACATATGCTGGAGTAAGGATATGGGGTCTGTGTCCGACATGTCCAGTCAAAACTGGGCCCAACAAGCATGTTTAGTTATGCATATTTATTGTTTAATTAATTGATAGACCTCCCTTATTATGTTTCTTTGTGACATGATTGCTTTAGAGCAAGTGAAGTGACATCTTGAAGAAAAGTCACCATTCCACCATAGGAAATAAAACACGAATACCAAGAAATTGTTTTTTATTTTTTCATTTTTTGTTGCTTTTACACTGTCTTACATAACGTTAGCATTCTACCTTGAGAAATAAGAGAAACATGTCTATAAATTTGGGAGTTTAGATGTATAATATCCACACTTGATAGGGGGGCTTGAGTCTATGTAACATGACTAGTGTATATAACATCACTTCAGATTTGCTGATATTTTAATTAATTTTACCATGTGCTTTTTGGCTTATCAGGTATGGTCTGCTCCAAATTATTGTTATCGCTGTGGTAATGTAGCTTCAATATTGAGCTTCAATGGGAATATGGTACTGCCACTAAACTTTTCACTCTTTTAACGTGGTTGTGGCTATTTGGCTCATTTATATAGATTTGATTAATTGAATTTTCTATGGGTGTTGTGTTTTACCCCTTTGTCTGTTAGGAGAGAGAGGTGAAGTTCTTCACTGAAATAGAGGAAAAGAACCAGATGAGAGGCCCCAGAACTGGAGTGCCTTTATTTCTTATGAGTGAGGATTTGTTTGCTTCATTACCCTGTACTATTGTTTGAAGTTTGATGCACTGCTGTTTTCATTGTTGGGGGGGGGAGGGGAGAGAAAGAAGATATGGACAGATGTTTTCCTTAGAGGATCCCTAAAAAAGATTACATGAATATTCTTGCAACATGGAATACATTCAAGCTTTTGTTCCTAACCTGCTCTGCTTTTAAATAGCTTGTTTGTGTTGTAAACGCCTACTTTTCCTTTTCGTTGCTTCTATTTTAGTTTATTATACATTTTTTAAAAATCTTTTATCTAGTTTGTGAGTTTACTTGAAATCTGATAAGCTTACAGTTAGTAGCTGGCCAGTGCTAGATCAGATGATTTGGAAATTTGAGAGATTAAATCTATATTCCTCATTGAGTTAAGACATTTTATTTCGGATTGACTATTGAGTGAGTTCATTCTCTCATCTCTACTTGTAGCATCCATTCTAGGGGAACCTACATGGATCTCAAACGCCACACTGGAAGGCTAAATAGGTAAGCTTCTTCAAAGGGCTATCAGTTCACCAGCAGCAGCCCAGTAAAAATTTAAGGTTGTGTTTGGATGTGCAGAATCATTTATTGTTTGGTGGTTATTGTTTGGTGTCGTTTATCTTATTTGTTTTAAAATTTGCAGCTAACCCCTTTATAATTTTTTTTGGAACTAAATGTTATATGAGGATCTACCTGCAATTGACTGCCTTGAAGATCACAAAAGACCAAGTTCATCACATTTGAGAAGGAAATAAGATTTAATCTTTGTTGATGAATTACTTTATAGATGAAGAGAAGCAAAAGTGGATAGACATCTGAAAGCAACCTCAACAATCTGGCTGCTCTCTTAGGGTAGAGGCGTAGTATGCCTCCTCACAGCTACAAGGCCTTTATCTTGAAACATGTATTTAAGACCTTCCTGCACAAGTTGATGGCTCCTTGTTTGTGCAAACTCATCTAGATTGGCTGGGCAGGGCTACTAATTGGGCTAAATTCAGTGCAATAGCAGGGCTATGTGTTATTCATAGAGGCCACCTGCAACAGGGCAGATCGTTGATGGCCCCTTACTTGCCACAGAGTGGGGCTGGTGGTGGTAGCAGTCCATACTCTGAAGGTGGGAACTATTTTAGACTGAGGTATTATGTTCTACATGATCCTTATTACACGGGACTACTGGAGTGAGAAGATCCTTTATAAATTATACTTACTGATTACAATAACTTCTAAATATATGTTTAGGTTGCAAGGTGAGGTGTGGGGTTGGACGTCTTTTTTCATTGATGTGGCTGCTGTTGGTATTGGATCCTCTTATTATCATCTCAAGCCAAATGACGCTACTCTTGTATGGGATCGTTTGCCGGTGAGCTTCATCTTGCCTGAGCTTCTATTTAAAATGTCCTCAATATTTTTCTGTTATGACATTTGATCAATAATTATATAGATGGCTATTGCATTCACGTCAATCATGGCAATCTTTATAATTGTAAGAATCGATGAGCAAAAGGGAACGGTGTCCATTCTTCCCCTACTCTTGGTAGGTGTTATAAGCATATTGTATTGGAGGTAAGCATGTGTACCTTTCCTCAATTATAAAGGATTTTGTTTTTCTATTTTAGGTGATGAAGTTCATACTTGTGTATGGGAGAAAATGCTAGAATGCGACAGTGCCTTTGGATTATATAACATTTTGTTGTAATGCCTTTTGAGTCGTCAATAAATACAAATGTTTTGGTGTTTGAACTTCTCCCAAATGATTCACATCTAAAGTTAATTTTGCCAAGATATTTGCATGAGCATGACCCTACAATTCCAAGTAAACATTTATTGTATGTTGACTTGTGCATTAACCTGCAGGTTTTTTGATGACCTCCGCCCATATGCACTGCTTCAGTTTGTTCCTTGCATTGTAATTCCGATAATGGCTATCTTGTTGCCTCCAATGTACACACATTCCACATATTGGCTTTGGGCTGCAGGTTTGTATATTTCATCATGTGGGCTCTTCTGTTTACTAAATCTGTTAGTTTTTTGTGCCATTCTGAGTAACATTTAATTGCATAACATGCAAGATTTTATCTTTTAGCTAAGGTAGAAGAAGCTGCAGATAAACCAATTTATAAATGGACATATCATATTGTCAGTGGGCACACTCTTAAGCATTTGTGTGCTGCAATGGTTCCAGTCTTCTTAACACTTATGCTTGCAAAGAGGACTATTGAAACAGAGGTATTCTTTTTTTTATTCTTCAACTTTGTTTGACTTCCTTCTATGACACTTGGTTTTGAAGAGATTTTTAGTAGGATAATTATGTTTATTCTCTAATATTTTTGGGCACAATAATTAGGGACATTAAACTACTTAAAGATCATCTTGTTTGAAAACTATTTTTGATTCAATTATATGTTCTTAAAACATATCAAGTTTCTATGGATCCTCAGTAAAGATCACCTTTCATTGATTTGATGCATGGATGTTTATTTTTCTTGCACAATGCTTGATCATACCTGCAAATTTATCTATATTACAAGACCGACGTTCACAAGATAATGTCAGCATCATCATTGTTGATTTGGGGTATGCACTTGTATGCATTAAGTTAATTTAATCTAATGTTTTCCATTCTAATCTAATGTGTCAATCTATTGTACTGATATTAACCTTCCTAATTTGGTCATGGCTGTGACTTTTTGCAGGAGGACAGATTGGCAAAGTTTGCCTCGTTCAGAAAGAAATTTTTGTTTATGAACTGGGCCAAGCTTTTGCTACTATCGGTATTGTGTCATTAGGAGTATGGATGTCTTCTCTGCTTTCTGCACGAGTTCTCAAGCTTGGCTTTGTAAATAAATCCTCACAGATTTCTAATATATTGTGTTTAGATATATTATGTAATTGTACATGTATCACATCTTATTGCATTGTTTTTTATTTTTAATTTTGTTTTCAAACTTAGTTTATTTATTATTTTAATAAACATCAATTATTAGTTCTCAATAATTGTTTATGACAGGTATTTTTTTCAACCATATAAAATTAGCACAACTTTAAAAATAAAAAAAAATAAAAATAATGGTTATGGCGGCGTTTTTTAAACGTCGCTATATCCCTACCCCAACAGTTAGATTTTTAAAATGTATAAATGTCTTTAACGGCGTTTCCAAAACGTTGCTAAATGTCATAGTGACGTCATAATACAATTAGGATAGGACATTTGGCAGCGTTTGTAAAAACGCCCTATACTAATATAACAACGTTTTCAAACGCCATAAAGCTATAGCGATGGCCTCGTCGTGGGCGTTTGGTACTAAACGTCACAAAAAGAATTAGCGATGTTTTCAATACCTATAGCAGCGTTTTTAAAACACCGCTAAAAGTCGATTTTTCAGCAGTGACACCAAGAGTTTAGAAAGTCCATTTGTACGATTTCATAGTTTAAAGGATAATGTGATATTTCTCAATAACTTGAGTTACATTTGCATTTATTTATTTATTTAGGGATCAAAGTAATATTTCTCAATAGTTTAGGGAATCTCTATATAAATAATACATATATATATATATAAATATATTTTATTTTTATAATTTCCACAAATTCAAATAAAACAAACTTATCAAACACGTATACGAATGTGCACAAAAACAGTGACTCAGTCTGAGTTAAGATTAGTGGTTTGGTCCAATGCCCATGGCTCGTTACTCTAATTTTCTTGCCCATTTTCCAAGGTAAGTTGTTGGGGGATTCTATTTGAATCTAAAATATGTCTTAGAACGTCTAATTTAAATTCATAAATTTATTAATAAGGACAACATATATTAAATCCTAAAATAAGTTTTTTTTTTCTCTCATTGATACATCCTAATCAGTCATTCCTATTCAAATATTTGTATCTTCTTCCTCAAGAGATCAAAGTTATTTCTTTTTCTTTTTTCTTCTTCTTCTTCCCTTAAAACTCCAATGCACCCTACTAAAACTCACCATCATCATCATCAATATCATTGTTTTTTATTATTTTGAAACCCTAAACTCTAGAAGAAAGGTTGAACAAAATCAAAAAAATAGATGAGAGTAATAATTAAAATAGTTTTTTGAAGTAACCCATCAAAAAGGAGGTAAATATTCGTATAAAGGGGTTTCACAATTTTTATAGAGCACCATCAATTATTTTCTATATCATTTTTTTTGACAAAACTTGAAGGACCCAGTAGTTAAATTAACAATAACATATTATTGGAGTTATTCTTATTATGTCATTTAAATAATGCATTATTTGAGAACTACTCTTTCTTGTTAGTGCCTAATGTTTATGTGCTTTTAAGTTTGGTTTTTGCTTTTCCACGAGTATTCTTGCGAATAATTTATTAAGTAAATTTTTTTTTCTATATTGAAAAGTTTTATAATGCTTATGTAAAAATTTGATTTTTTTTCTGTATTTATAACGCTTATGTGCTTATAAGTTTGGTTGTTGTTGTTGTTGTTTTTTTTTTTTTTTTGTTTTTTTGTATTTGAGAATTATTTTTTTTTTTTTTTTTTTTTTTTTTTTTTGTATTTGAGAATTATTTTTTGTATTGAAAAGATTTGAAATAATTTAGTTTTTTTAATTTGTTTATTATTTATTATTTGGGTTTATCTTGAGGGTAATTTAGGAAAAATAATCACTATGCTTGGTTACCACTTTTCAAAAAATTCTACTTTCTTATTTTTGTATTTCACTACAACAAAAAGCATTTTTGGCGACGTTTTTTAGCAACCAAATTGAATTTAGTTGCCAATTGTATGTTTTTGGCGACAATATATGTGTTCGTTGCCAAAAACTACACCATTAGCAACAAATATCTAAATTCGTCGCCAAAAATGGTTGGCGCGAAATTAATTTTTTGGGCGGGAGCGCTAAAAAAGTTTTGGCGACAAAATTAACATTTGGCGACAAAAATGTTTGTCGCCAATTTGGACGTTTTGGCGACGGCAATAAAATAGTCGCTGAAAGGTGAATGATATTTATGGCAACATAATAATTTTCGTCGCCAATAAATTTCTTGTCAAAACGACGTCGTTTTGAATTTGTTTTTTTTTTTTTTTTTTAATGACCAAATAAACAAGAGTGACCTAAGATGAATCTTCTTCGTCTTCTCATTCCACAACCTGAAGCGGCACAACAGAAGACAAAAGGTATGTCTTCTCTCCCTCTTCTTCGTCTCTCCTTCCCTCTCCTTCTCCTTCTCCCTCTCACTCTCTCACACTGTCTCATCTTCCTCTCTTTCTTCTTTATCATCAATTTCATTCGGCATTGCAGAACACAACACATTCGGCACTGTCCCACCTTATAGATTTTCATTCGGCACTGTCTCACCTTATAGATTTTGATTCTTGTGAAATCTGGTTTGAGTTTGGTAGTTTGATCATTTGTTGAACCAATGTTTTGTGCTAGGCATTAAGCTTTGACTTTTGTGAATATTTTGAAGATTTCAGAGACATCATAGTAATTATAGGTGATCTTGAGTAATTGTTTTTTGGTGTGCATTTTGTAAGTGGTTTTTTCACACCCACCATGTGTTTGTGTGTTGGTTTGAAAGAGACAAAAAGTTGCAGTGGACTAGAATTTGTATGAGCAATTTCTTTGACTATGTGACTAATTAGAGTCATTTTCATTGTTTTCTGTTTTTATATTTTCTGGGTTGTGGATGTGAACTAGAATTTGAATTTTTGTACTGGATTCTCGATTTTTTGATCACTCCCTAATAATATATATATACTAATATACACATAACAAACAAGCCAAAAATTTACTGAGAGAGAGAGAGAGAGAGAGAGAGAGAGCTCTT